TGACAAAAAATAGATATTATAACAGAAAGAATATTACTAATGTGAAAGTTTGTGAAAACGTTTAGATCTATACAACAAATTACTTCGCTTAATAGCTCGCACTTGATCCGATAATCTTTGCACCGAAAAGTTAACAGTTGGTTCAAGTACCTGAAACAGAGTTAGTAAACGATTAAGATACGCAGTGATAATAGTTTATCCCTCTGTAACCATAAAATATGCTCGCATGAAGTTTTTGTGTACAGTTTGTTTGCCCTGCCGACGTACAGGTGTTGGCGACGTCGGCGGTGAGAAAACTCGTCGCTTGAAGTCGATCTCGACACCTCTGTAATCACCAGGATTGCAAGACGGAGCGTAGCGACTAGTCCGGAGGTGGTAAAAGTGCTCTGCTGGCTCTAGCTCTTGTAATCATCAACAGTAGAATTTGTAAGATAAGATGACTTGACATATTTGACATGACATACGTATATTTTTTATGGTGATAGTTTTTTAAATCAAGTTAGGATTTTATTTTTGTAACATAAATGAATTTTCTGTTCTGAACTTTGCTTGAACTTTTCTGAATTTTACTGTAAAGAACAATGGCGAATTCTACGAATTCGCCACAGTGGCCTGTACCTTCAGCTTACTTACTGAGTATAATCTGAGTGTCTTAAAATGTGATTTATAGGAAACTAATTCTAGTAAATATCTATGTTTTTTGAAGCTATGTCAGTAAAACCCAAGGAAAAGAAAGAAAAATATTATAAGCTTATTCGATTATTTTAATTTCCTGTTTTTTATTATTTATGTATTTTTATGGCCTGGTAACAAGACCTTTAAGCCAAGTCTTAATTTTTGATACATAACTTCACTATTTTCACTTAACTTTAATATTCAATCTCAATCAAAAGTGCATGATTCTAGGCGGGAATTTGAACCGCTCAAAATCCTCCGCCGCTTCAGCTCAAATTCCCGCCTAGCAATCATTTTAATTTCCTTGATCAGTTTAGTGTTACCATTTTACAGGCATTTTTATCGAGTAGTGGAAATACTGTCCAAAAAACAACAAAAATCTTTATACGAAAATGACTTGATAGTAATTTGGTAATCAGATAATATTTTTATAAGTACTGAATCAATAAAGAATGTAGTTTGTGGTGCATTATTAAAAGCATTATTTATTTATTTGAAAATTCTGTAGTGGAATATAAGGAAGTAAAAAATAAATAAAGTGGCAACTGCAAGCTGAAAAATATGCAAAGGCTTTTTGATAACTCTTGACTGAATGGCCGCCGTCGATTCGTCGAGTCGATTAGATTAGTTTAGGTTTAGAATTTACATTCATTACATGTTGAAATAGGTAATACATTAAGGAAGGAAGGAAAAGGAACGAGGCGCGTTCTATGGTTACTTATTGGATATTATATATGCAGATGTACATAAATATAAGATGATTACTTCCTGCATCAGACGCATTAAAAGTGACATAAAAATATAACCTACGAAAGTTTTACAGCTAGTGGTCCATAATAATTCTTTATGATCTTTTTTATTTTATTTAAATGGCACACATACACTTATAATTATCAAATAATTATGTAAAGGAATACAAAAACTAATTTGAAAAGTCGATAGCCACTGACAAATTGATAAAATAAAGGAAACATGCAGCTATATCATAAAAGACTGGAGGACTCTTTTAATAGGAGTCCTCAGATAAAAAAATGCGGTGCGTAACTAAAAAATCAAATGTTATAATATATTATCTTCTAAACTTTCCCAAACAAAAATTGTTTTACACATAGATTCTAAAAATATACCAAATTTATTCATATTTTTTTCACTACAAGATGATGCAAGTTGATTCCAAATATTATTTTGTATGGAGACCCGCTATTGTTCTTTAGAGATTTATGAAAAAATAGAAATTATAGAGAAATTCTGAATGCTGCAGATAAGTGTTGCTAGTTCATTATTATTATGAAGATTTGCAATCGAAGCCAGACAAGTTTGAAATGGAACGTTTACAGAGTTATAAATACATTGAAATATTGGAAAAAAGAATTGAAGTGTTGAAGTTAGGCACTCAGACATTAATACGTCAGAAATATGCGACATCTAACGACTCCCGAGCAAACTCAATAAGAATAAGATAATTGTGGTGGATTTTAACGTAGAGGCTATAAAACATTTGCGTTCGTAGGTGACTACAACAGGAATAAAGAAATGTCCCAGAAATTAAATACGATTCACGTTAGAATTCAAGGTCCACCGTCTCCTATATACTAGGCATGCCTTTTAAGTTCTGTCGTTTTCATATTTCCCGGCAATTTTGAATTTGGAACTGTTCTATATTCGAATGTGTTTAAATTTTGAATCTCAAAACAGTTGAAAATAATAGGTCTTTACCTATGAAATTGCCGTTTTGTATGCAATAAGTGAAAGTACTTATTTTTTCAATTTTTTTTATTTCTGTTATTCGAAGTAATCACCCATGCAATCGACGCATCTTTGCCAACGCATTGGCAGTTTATTGATGCCCTTCTTGTAAAAATCAGCTGGACGGGAGGCAACAAACTCTTCAAAGGCATTTTGTACTGCCTCTCAGGAATTGAATTTTTTACCCACTAAAAAGTTGTGTAAATTTTGGAAAAAAATAATAGTCGGTAGGTGCAAGGTCTGGTGTTCACATCTGCAACCAGCTTTGGTCAATCGGTCGTCCCCACTGCTCCTTCACGACAACGCGCGATCCCATACTGCGCAACAGACAAGCTGCAAGAAGTCTCCAAGCTGCAAGAGCTGGGGTTGGAAGCTCTCCCTCATCCGCCATACTCACCAGACCTTGCACGCTTTCAAGTCAGCCATTTTGAACACCCCCACTTTAGAGTGGAATAAATGTTATGATAACTGGTTTGAGCGAATGGAAAAGTGTATTAAGCTACGTGGTGAATACTTTGAAAAATAATAAAAAGTACTATAAGGTTCTAGTTGTGTTTTTTTCTTCAAACGACAAAACTTAAAAGGCATGCCTCGTATTTAGATAACGGAATACCTTCCATACAGTGGTAGAAACTTGTTTCACCAGTCATGGGTATTTGCCAAAAAGTAACAATTATAAATTCTGTTGGACCTCTAATCGGAAAATTTATATACGCAAAAATGAAGCCACTATTCGTTTATAGTGTGCAAAAAGTAAGGTTGCTCCATGAAAACCGGTTAGTATACTGCGTCTAGAACTGTATGGTGCATTAGTAGGCCCGCGTTTATATAACAGGATTATAAATTTAATGAGTTTAACGTTTGATAATGAATTTTATTTTGGACGGATTCGACGATTGTTTTGGGTTGGCTACATACTCATCCTACCATGTGCACGATTAATGCCTAGTTTTCCGTTCTTACGTACTAGTACCGATTATTGTGGTCCCGTATATATTTTGAGCCGTCAAGAGGTTCAAATTTAATAAAATGCTATATATGTATATTAATTTGTTTTACTACTCGAGAAATCTTGAGTTGGTGACAACTTTGTCTACTGGTGGTTATCTCCTTTGCCTTAAAAGATTTATCTCACGTAGAGGTAAACCAGCAGAAATATATTCCGATAGTGGCAAAAATGATTTCGGCGCGGCTAACGAGTTAGGCGATTTTTGAACAAAACACTTGTCCACAATTATTGAAAGGGTAGCTTTGACAATATTTCTTTTAAATTTATTCCCCATTCTCCCCTCATTTTGGTTGCCCTTGGTAGGCAGGAGTGAAGTCTTACAAGTATTATTTGAAACGCGTAGTAGGGAACACTAATCTTACCTTTGAAGAGTTTAACACAGTATGGATACAGATTGAGGCTATCCTGAACTCCCGTCTGCTAACACCTCTTCCAGCGGATGCCAGGGATCTTCAAGCATTAATACCTGGTCACTTCTTGATTGGGCGTCCACTCACAGCACCGGCTTCTTCAGATGTAGTCACCGGCCGTCTACCCCGTTACGACCGAATAGAGCAAATGCGTCAGCATTTTTTGGAAACGATTGTCAAAGGACTACATTAATGAACTGCAGACGAGAACGAAGTGGAAGATCAACAAGAGTGACATCACTATCAACCGGCTTGTTCTCATCAAGGACGACAACATACCTCCGTTGAAATGGCGCCTGGGGCGAGGGGTAGAAGTATATCCCGGAAAGGATGGCGTTTCACGAGTGGCAAGAATCCGCACCGCAACTGGAGAGGTCCAGTTCGCCTTTTCTAAAATTTGCCCTCTTCCTATCGAAACACGTGCTTCACTTGCTGATGCTACTGGAACCCGAGATCTTCCAGGGCCGGGAGTATGTTAAGGCTACGAGCTTCAACAGATGTGATGGGTATTGCATCGCTCACCGCAGGGCCGACACTCCCCGATTAACCCGTTCTTGATAACGACACGACATTTTATACGTTAAACATTTTTATATGTTGTAAATAATTTATAATATATGTTTGTACCGAATTGGACTATCGTTCAATTTTTAGTATAAGTACTGCCGAAGCAAGTATGTATATGCAATATTATAAATGCGAAAGTGTATCTGTTTGCCTGTTTGTTACCCCTTCACGCTTAAACTGCTTCACCGATTTAGATCAAACTTGGTACAGAGATAGTTCTAGTTCTGAAAAAGTACATAGAATAGTTTTTATCAGAAAAATCGTATTTTAGAAGGGGCAGGGGGGGGGGGGGCGTAGAAGTTTGTATGGGATATCAATAACGATTTAGATGAAATTTGGTATGGACATAGTTTGATTTTTGTGGAAGGGCATAGACTACTTTTTACCGTGATAACCGATATACACGCGGGCGGAGCCGCGGGTAAAAGCTAGTTTACTGATATAGCAAGGTGACGCATCAACTTAACGGTACTATAAATATGTATGTAGCTTGGAACTATATCGACTTATCTTCAATTGAATACAATGTGTCACGCGCGGTGCTTGTCTGCTGAGTGATTCCGTGTTAATCAGTCATTAATCACGACAGTTTAATGGATTATTTTTGTGGATCTCCGCTATGGGTATGTAGCGTCTAATATTGTTCTCTTAAAGTTTATTTTAATTCAGTACTGAAATGTAAAATTTACTGATATTAATTTTGTTTTTCAGTACTTAAAATCAACTTGGACGAACAAAACATTATCTAGAGATAATGTTTTGTGCGTCCAGGTTGATATTTGAGAAAATAATAAATATATTAATAATTAATAATTATGTATAAGTATAATTATAAATATTTAATAAATCCTTTAATAAAACATTTATTAATATAAGTAAGAAAACGAAAAAAAAGTGCAACCCTCAATCAAACAGGTAACAATAATAGCAATAGATACCTTCAAGTCCGTTTGATTTCGGTGCCAAGCCAAATGTGTACGTGATGGGCTTGACAAAACATGCTGAACGAGCCAAAGTGGGTTGCGCACATTTCAAATAATATTATTATTTTGAATGCTTTATTAAGTAGTTGATTGTACGTACTTGATCTAGTTGGTCTTAATTAATTACCTAACAAGATCTGCGATTTTTCATTAGAATTATATTACATTCTTAAATCTTAATTGTGCTGATATAAAGCTGACATCGACCAAAAAATCCGATGTAACAAACTAGATGTAAAATCCTCAATTCCTCAGGGTAGCGTGATAGGGCGCTTACTATTTCTCATCTACATTAATGATCTGCCCAAAGCTATAGATGGACCCTGTGTATTGTTTGTACAAAAACAAAAATATAGTCCCTCATCAAAAGGCACCAATAAATATAGATTTTAATTTTGAAAACGGTAAATTAGTACTAACCAAGTCAACTTGCTCGACTTAACCATAGACACTCATATAAGCTGGAAGCCACCTACGCACTGCTGGAAGTCAAGAAGACTACTGATTTGGCAACAGCTTTGGTCACTTACTACATCACATCACATCATCAACAGCCTTTAATAGTCAACTGCTGGACATAGGCCTCTCCTTAGAAATGAGGTTTACTTACACTTACTACGCCTATGCATATTCCTGGTTAAGCTATGTCGTCATTTTATGAGGAAAAACCTACTGTATTATTTCAACAAAAGAAACTAATGAGAATTTTAGTAAATATAGAAGAAACAAACACATGTAAACACCATTTAAAAGCTAAAAATATTAACTTTGCCGTCTATATGCATTTTAGGAATTTGTAAATTTGACCGGAAATACTCGGCACACTACACTACTAGAGAAAATATACAGACCAGATACACACTAAGGCACAAAAATAAACTTAACCTTCCAATCTCCCGTCTACCAATGCATTCCCTAGGCCCCTTGGTCATGTCAATAAAAATATATAATAAGTTGCCAGAGTTCATAAAAAAAAAGAAGAAAAAATTATCATTTTTGTAAATAAACTAAAAAATCCTAGTAAGTGAAAGCTGCCACAGCATACAAGAATACTTAGATGATAAACACTAATTACAAACTATTGACAGAATCCATGATATTACTTTCCATTTGAATATTACATTAAAAAATAATTGAATAATACACAAAGCGTAATCAATAATGAACTTATATTACCAAAATTAGAACAAATGTTATTCGGTGTTGCATTGACATTGTATGAAATGATAATTATTTGCATTAGACTAACCCAATTTATTTTTGTATTGTGTATGTGAACGACATTTAATATCATATTAACTTTGTTAAATAATAATTGATATTTACATCGCATTTGCCCAACTTACTTTTGTATAAAATATGTGAATGACATTTAATGTAATAAAATTTTGACTTAATTAAAAAAAACTATTAAAACAAAACTGAATTTACTATAGTTGAATCCAGTTTTTGTATGTGTACATTTATAACAGATACCTAGGACAGCAAGTTTAAGTAAGTTTTGAAAATATTTTAATAGGTTAAATATATATATAAATAAAAATAAATGAAATGAAATTTAAATGGGAAATATTTTAATAGATTAAATATAAAAATAAATGAAATTAATTTAGATGTGAACGGCATAATGACTCACCACAAGAAAATGACCGAATAGTGCAATAATACCATATAACATGTGTGCAATAATATACATCATAAACTTTGTCGAAACACAAATAATAATAATTGTTACAAACTCTTCCTTTCTCCTAACTTAAATTGTAACTTAATTATAAGCTTGTCAAGCTCTGTATCGCATTATGGAACGCAATAAATGTATTGAGTGTTACTTATTGTGCGTCGGACTTGGCACGGACTTCAAATAGACTAGAAGGTATTTACTGCTATTTCAATGTTATCTGTTACATTGAGGGTTACACTTATTTTAGTTTTTGACTTAGATTTGTTTTTGTGTTAGAATTATTTTCCATTTTTAGTGTAAGATATGTTGCATCAACATTCAGTATTTTTTAGTGATCTGTAGGTCTTATTTTGTCATATATTAAATAAAATAATGATATATTAACTAAAAAAATTATCAGTAAAATACTTGAAAAAATTAAAGATACTTCAGTTTTGATATTAAGTGGCCAGCAACTGATTTTTTAGAGGCCTTGGTCCCTTGCAATAGCGAGTTTCAGTTACAGAAATGCGACATTGAGATGCTTGAGCTATTCATAACTCTCTCCAGTCCAACCGTATTGGCAATATCACTTTTCTCCCTCTACCTACTTTTTTACCAAATATTTCATTTCTTTCTGCTACAACTTATTTGTCTCACCTTTAACTCACGATTCACGGTAATAGCATATACCCTTTAGTCACCCTGTACTGTGACTAAAACCAAATTAGTTGAAAATGACAGTGTAAAAAATATAGGCCAAACTGTTTAACTGTAAATAAGTATTATTTTACTGTTTATAATTACGTTAACTACGCCAGGATTATGTTTATATACGTGTGTAAAGTTTATCTTCATACTGCCTATGTGTTTGCTAACATACGAGTACAAATACGCGACAAATTTATCTCTCGAGCCTATTTGTAACTCATCAGTTATGTTTATTTTGTCTTTAAATATAAAAAAAATATTAGGGTAATTGCGAGATAAAATAAAGCATCTATTAAAGATGAAAGCAAATAAGATAGTGAATAATATAATTATATAGTACAGCGGAAACGAGGACGTACATGGAATTCTCATTTCAGTCCATCCCTATCGGAATTATGTCACATGTATCGTGTTTCCTTTCTTCCATCTCCCTTCTTACCTGCTCTCAATTCTTTTGGGGTAGGTCTCTTTCAGATTAGGCCATTTGACGTTGTCTTCCGCTACTTCCATCCAATTCATTAATGCTGATTTCTTGACATCATTTACAGGTGTTTGTCTCTTGGAAAGATTAATTCAACTACTCTTAGAATGTATTGAAGTAGGTTTTCAAAATACACGACGGTATACCAAATGCATGGCGAACATTATGCAACTGGTCTAACAGTTCCCGATATACATACATCTTTTAACTAATGTATGTATTTCATCGTAAATCATTTTTCAAATATTCAAAACTATTGAGGCAATCACGACTTTATAGCAATTCACTCTTTGTAACAGTTCCCTTCGTTCTCAGGCAGATCTATATTAGGTTTAGACTTCAACTTCGAGGCATATTTCGAATAATTTTATCGATATGTAGCACATATACATATCTACTTATGTTGCTTAATTTTCCCTACGTTACCCGCTCAAACTCACATCTGTCAGACCCCTTGAACGTCCGAGCGCGCGATCTGGATTGATCTCGTCGAGCGCCCTTATGCCATCACTGATTTAAAGTGTATTTACTAGCAAACTACTGCAGCTATAGCAAATTACGGTATAATAACGGTATAAAGCTGAATCTTTAAAGAATTAGAATACGTAAAAAATAAAGTACCGGATCGTTATCGTACCACGCCATTATCACACAAAAACTCTAACAAAAAGCCGGCATAAATGGAGCGCCGCGGGCATTTCGACTTTAACACAAGAGCATCTTAATATAGTTTGAATTCTTAAAATTTATATATACACGGAAAGAATGATTTCCAAGGATAATCTTAATATAAAATACTAATAAAGAATACTATTAAATTATTACTTACATGTCAATGGCAAAGTACACACACACTTGACCATAGTTCACGCCGCTTCCACCACTTCAAAAACACAAGAGAGGAGGTTATCAATTTGTATTTTTATTTTTTGTAAGTTTGTCCGTCCCTCCGTCAATTGGTGACCAATTTTCAAAATTCTTTTTGTAATGAAAAGGTCCTGACTCCCGAGGTGGTCCCATTACCACCAAATCAGGATCTGATGATGGGATCCTAGAGAAATCGAGGCAAACCTTCAAATTTTACAACCCCGATAAACTCTTTAAAAAATCTTATCATGTATTGACCTTGTTGTATTCTTTATAGATATTTATTAGGTGTTAGTGTTTGGTTACAGAGATATGTGCTCAAGAGAGTAATAAATGAGATTACAAAAACATTTAGACAAAAAAAATTTTGTTACGCAATTATTTTCATGTTTATTACCTCAAAACTCTTTCCTTTGTAAACCGATTTGGAAAATACTTTTTTGATTTTAAAATGATTTTTGTAATTGAAAAGTTATACTCCTGAGGTGGTCCACCAAATCAGGATTTGCTTGTAGCCTAGAGAAATTGAGGGAAATCCGCAAATTTTACAGGTCCCACAACGTGTTTTAGCTTGTTTCTCTAGCTATATAGGTATTTGCTTTTAGTAGTCGTTATGTCATATTGCTGAGCTGATGATGGAAGGGTCCTTGACCTTTAGGAGTAAGAAGATAACACTTTCAAAAAACTTATCATGTATTGACTTGTTTTTTCTTTCAAGATATTTGTTAGGTGTTTGTGTTGGGTTACAGAGATATGTGCAGGAAAGAAATAACAAAACATTTAGATAAAAAAAATGTTTGTTACGCAATTATTTTCATGTTTCTTACTTCAAAACTCTTTTATTTGTAAACCGATTATGAAAATTCTTTTTTATTTGGAATATGCATTCAAATGTGAAGAAAAAATACCACCCTAAGT